AAGCACGGCCCCAGGCGGCGGGAGCTCCCCATCGGGGCGCGCCCCTGCCCGCTCGCTACCCGCCACTCACCCGTGTCAGTTTCACCCCCGCCACGGACCTTCATTACCACTGTGGCGCCCCGCTTGTGCCTCGCTTCCGAGCTGGGGCGAGTTTCCAAACGGTCACAACAAGGTCAGGGACGTCTCCCTCCACCCCCTTGAATTATTCCTGCCTTGTTCGCACCGATCCGACCCGCACCTTGGCTCGGAGGCGGGGGGCTTCAATGAGCGAGTAATGCAAGCCCCACTAAGGCTGAACACGAGCAGCCGGCAGCGGCGGCCCCGGCCCCGACACACGAGACAGGAGCAAAGTGGGCAACAAATCAAATCCACGGGGGAAAGTGCCTTAGACCCCAACCCCGCCATGGGGGCGACGAGAACCTAGACAAGCAGTTGCACCGGCCGAGACCCCCCCTCCCCCGAGCACCTGCAGCTTTTTGTTGTAGGCGTTTTGTTTCCTTTCATTGAATCCTGCTTGATTGTAGGGGGTCTTTAATCAGGACCCCAGCGAGGACGGCCGCAATCTGGGGGCGTACCCATAGCACCTGCCCTCCGGGGGGAGGGGGGGGGGGTCAGGCTTTGTCCCGGGAGAAATCCACCGTCTGTCTTTTTGGCCAAGGCGTTTTACACGGGAGAGGAGGTGGCACTGCAACTGGCCACTGGAGAAATCGAAGCAGGACACAGTGAAGTGACCCGCTGTTGGTGACAAGGCGCATCGGTGACAAACCGCTGGGGGGGTCTAAGCCGGCCGCCTAACCGGGGCTGCAGGGATGCCCCCACTGGGCACCAAGCGATCATGAAAGCCATTAACAGGAATCATTTGCGGAGGACAAGATCCAGCGCAAAGGGGAGAAGGGGAAAGGACTCCGGAGCAGTGAGCTGGGAAGAAGCGACGGGGCTCGTTTTGTAGCCGGGCAAGAGAAGCACTTTGCCGGGTGCTCCTACCCACCGCTGGAGCCAGAGTAACCCCGTGCAATGAAGCAAGCCAGGTATGCCCGAGGGTGAATCCGGCCCCGCAGCTTTAAAGAAAGAGCCTGCACGTGGGGACAGGGCAGACACTGTCCACATCAGCAATGCTCCCACATCCTGCAGGACTTGCAGGGGCTAGAGAGAGGAAGATCCTGACATCCGCGTGTCTGAGATGGGTGAATCCATCCATCCACCCACCCAGCAAAGAGCAGCGGGTAAGAATGGTTCCTGGCAGACAGCGGCGGGATCAGCCGCCAGGAGCCCTGCGGAGAGAGTAACTGGGCAGAAGAAATCACGGGACGGGCTAGTACCTCCTGCCATCGCCTTGGTGCCTCCGAGCCAAGGCGGGCGAGCTGCCCCTTCACACTGGCACTTACTGCCCGGCGCTACCCATATTTTTTTCCCCCAAAATTTCACACGCGCGCACACCAGTGAATGGGTGGGTGGGTGGAGAGATGGATGGATAGATGGATGCATGGGTGGATGGATGGGTGGATGTGCAATCTTCAGTGCAATCTTCTCCATGGAAGAGGACATCGATGGTTGAACGATTCCTCTACGAAATCATCTTTTCTGGAGCACATAATGAGAGCAAACCAACTGCCCAAGATCGCAAGAAAGGAACCCAAGGAGGGTCTTCATTGCAGACAACGACTCCGTTTTTATACCTACATAACTTCTCTCTCTCTATCGCATATCAGTTCTACACACAAATGTAGTGATCACGTCCAACTGGTGTTGGGGAGAGATGATCATGGCGAAATGCAAACTCGATACATTAGGGATCTAAAATCTTGATTTTAGATTCCTAGGCCACGGGTGGGGAAGATTTCAGAAGGCAGGTTTGTGTGTGTGTGGTGGCGGGGCGGGGTGTCCAAATGTCTAGAGGAACGGACTTACGGATCCACACAGAGATATGGGCATTGGCACTTCGCTCAGCTGGGAGGGTGTCAGGTCACTTCGGGTGATTTCGGACTGGCAAAGGCTGAGCAGAAAGCCGGGCACGGAGAAAGAGAAAAGGGGTGTATGCATGGAGAGAGATGCAACGGATTTTAAGGAACAACCCCAGCCGAGGTGAGATAGGCGGCGACGAGACCAGGGCGAGGAAAGGACTGCGAAGAACCGCGACAAGCGCTAGCCTGCAAGAGCACTTGCTCTTTGGCTGCGCTGTTATTCAACCTCGTTGCCTCCAGACAGGGCTTCCGAGGCTGCGGGCGTCCGTCCATACTCCTGTTTTCCCCTAAACTCAAAGCAGGAGCAACGGAGATCAAACAAATCTATCGCCTGCATCGCTCTGCTTCGATAGCTCCATCGCCACCTAACCCAGGACTCCACAACGGGCAGCGCGGTTATTCTCGCCAAGCCGCCGGGAGGCAGGGCGATAGGTGGATCCAATAAGCGGATCGTGGTCCTCACTTTAAAGATGAGGCGCTGAGCCCCAGGGCTGATCTCCCTTGGCCGGTGCCTCTGATCACGACTCTCCCTGTGCTCTGCCACGGCACGGGTCTGCAGCCCCATTCCCCACGATGCCACGGCTCGCGCGCTGCGGGGGTTTAAGTGGGTTGGACGGGGGTCCCCAAACACCTGGACGGTCTGTCCGGGGCAGCAGGGTCCGCTCACGGGGCCCGGGCACAGGAACACGGCCAGTCCAGACAGATCTCTCCTCTGCTCGGAAACCCCGCTCACCCCGGGCAGCTAATCGCAGGGGAAGATGCAATGTACACACGCAGCTCTGCGTGATCGTCACAGCGAGAGCTGGGGGGTGGGGCAGGATGCACCCCCACGCTTCCCGGGGCACCTCCAGTTAGCTACTGGGTGGAGATGGAGTCCCTCAAAGTGTGGCAGATAAAACACTCGGGCCGTAAGAGACAGGGAGTAAGAAGCCGCCGCACCAGTGCGGCATGGGGCGCAGAGCCGGGGGCTGGCACCCGCGGGAGGCAGAGCGCGGGCCCGCACGGCCTGCCCAGGCCAGGGAGAGCGGCGAGCGCTCCGCTCCGGGCTGGACCCCGCGCCGCGAAGAGGACCGGTGGGTTTCTCCCGAAACCTTGAGGACCTTGCTGGGCGGAGGGGAGGAAGCGCGGGAGGGCCGGGAAGGGAAAGCGGAACTCGGTGTCTTCGCCTGGTGCACCTGACACTGGCCGGGGCTCTCGGGGCTAACGCCCCGACCTGAGCGGCGCAGGCACGAGTTCTCTTGTCCGCTACACGCACGTCCGCGCACACACACATGCATGTACACACACACATTGAAAAAAATGTGCGTGTGTGTGAGACAGAAGTGCGTGATATATGTCCGCACGTGTTACAAGGAGATATATAAACATTATATAATAGATAACTATGAAATATAATATAATTGCATATAATATATACACACAGGCATACACTATATATAGATATAGATACAATATTATTGCATATTATAGAATAGAACTGTGTTATATTAACATTATATTATTAATTCTGTGCAATATTATTGTAGTCTACTACATATTATAATATATAATATTGTACACTATATAATATTATCCTCTCCAGTTCGAGAGAGGCTGTATATATCCTTGTAACACACACACACACACATACATACATGTGTATACACACGTATATATACATAGACATATATACATATATGTGTACACACACACACACACACACA